TAGTTTTGTCACTGTTATAAATTTATCGATCAAACAACTTTTGCCAGCCAATTTACCTTCTACAGATGTACAACTTACAGGCAGCAATCAAAATAATTGACTATGCAACTCTACCCTTCATCATGTGATTCTTCCATCACTCCTTTGGCCCCCTCCTTCCTGCCCCTGGTATCCACTAATAAACTCTGGTCTCCATACATTTGCCTTTTCTTATCTTTATATATGAAGTGAGGTCACACACTATTTGTCCTTTTGTGATTGTTTTATTTTGTTCAGCACAGTGTCTTTAAGCACCATCCATACTATAGCATGTATCAAAGACTTCATTTCTCCTACCGCCTATATGTATCACATTTTATTCATCCATTCATCTGGGGATGGGCATTAGGTTGCTTCCACCTTTCAACCATTATAAATAGTACTACATTGCTCTGTGAATCTTCACCCAAATCACAATAAAAATAAATAAATAAATAGTACTGCAATAAACACTGGTGTACAAGTCTCTGTTTGACCTTCCACTTTCAACTTTTTTGGGTATATACCTAGGAGTAAAGTTGCTAGGTCATGTGGTAGTTCTAATGTTAGTTTATATGAGGTACTGAAATACTTTCCCATTAACAGCTAAACCATTTTGTATTCCCACCAGAGATTGGTAAGGGTTCTAATTTCCCTACATCCTCACCAACATTTGTTATTTTCTGGCCTTTTTTTTTTTTTTAAATCTTAGCTATCCTAGTGAGAGTGAAATGGTATCTCACTGTGGTTTAGAATTTCATCTCTCTTACGGCACTATGCTACCAGAGCTCATTTATGTATGTTTTTGTTAATAAATTCTTGTTGGATATATGATTTCCAAAGATATTCTCCCAATCAGAAGCTTGTTTTTCCACTTCTATGGTAAAGTCATTTGATGAACAATGTTTTTAGCTTTTATGAGGTCTTATTTTTGGGAGCTCTGGTAGCATAGTGGCTAAGGCATTTGACTGCTAACCAGAAAGGCTGGCAGTTCAAATCCACCAGTCACTCCTCGGAAGGAAGATGGGGCAATCTACTGCCGTAGTGATACTGCCTGGGAAACCCAAGGAGGGGTCACTATGAGTCGGGTTCGACTCGACTGCACATAACAACAACAAATATTTATTTTAGGCGCTCTGGTAGCACAGTGTCTAAGGCACTTGACTGCAAACCAGAAGGCTGGCGGTTCAAACCCACCAACCACTCCTCAGAAGGAAGGTTGGCCAATCTACTTCCGTAGTGATACTGCCTCAGAAACCCAAGGACGGTTCACTATGAGTTGGGGCCAACTCAATGGCACATAACAACAACAAATATGTATTTATTTTGTCTTTTGTGATTTGTGCTTTTGTTATTAGATAACCTATTGTTAAAAGGTATGCCCTCCCTAAAGAGCCAAATAGTTCAGTCCCACCAACTCCATCCATTTTCCCTCAAAGAACTTTAACTTGAAGAATTTTGACAACTGAATAGATTTAAAAAAAAAAAAAAAGTGTCTTATTCTGCTTTAAGTTGCATTCCTTTGAATTTTAAAATGAAGGTGAACATCATTTTACATGTTTACTGACCACCTGGAAACAGCTGCCTTTTTAATTTGTAGGAAGCTTTTCTCATTTTGGGTAAAGTCTCTTTCATTCTTAACAGTCTTCTTAATCCATCATCATCACTGTTTTTAAAACAATCAGTAATTTAATGGCTCAGGTCATTATTTTGTAGAATGTACCCGAGTCTGAATTTGGCTTCTTGCTTACTACAGTAACACTTAACTTGTACTATAGGGCATATTTTTAAATTGTAGAAAGTAGAAATTAAGCCTTCGTTTTATGTTACAAACATTTTGCCCTATCTGATAAATATTTATTAAGTATGCCTTGACAAATAACAGACAGAGGCCCTACCCTTGTAGCAGTTTGAATCTATTCTGGGGAGTGGAGGGAAGTACAAGGGAGCCAATGGCATTTATATTTATCATTAAGGAGTGAAAAAAGAATATGATGATTAAAAAAAAAAATTACGTTAGGTCTCTCTCCTTTGCTGTATCTAGGTGTATGTATGTCTCCAGGTACAGAAATCATAAAAAACTTCAACCATCAATCTGTTGAAATTGTTCCAGTAGAGGCTCTGGAGTTCAACTGTGCATTAAAATGGATCAGTTAAATAATCCAACTATTCAAAGATATATCTCTCCCAAGGGCAAATGACATCAAGATAGCAGTACACTCATTTACAAATAAGTAATCAGGATCTTTCCAGTCCAAGGGCCATTCTGAGCAAACTTTTTGGATGTTTCACATCATACTAAGAATAAAGTTCTAATTAGGCCTTACTCTCCCATGGGCTCATTTCTCTTCACCAATTAGCTTTCTCCTGTTTCCTACGCACTGGTCACACTCTGTACTTGTCCCACTGCTTGGGAAGTTCTCCTTCAGGTCTCCATATTACTCACAGAGGCCACAGTGCAAATCTCATCTCTTTGGAAAGGCCCCTCCTAGCACTGCAATCTTAAGGGGCCGCCCCACCTTCAGTCACTCTCTTTTGTGTTGTTTGCTTCACAGCACTGCCACCAGAAGTGATCTTTTTGGGTTTGTATGTTCCTTGTTTATTGACTGTCTTGCGCTATAGTATAAGCTCAGGGCCAACAAAGAGACTGTTTGTCTTGCTCACCGTCACGTTTATTGGTAAAAGTACCAACCCAACTAATTCTTGGCTGAATGGATACTTTTCTCTTCCCTAATACTTCTGATAGCATGGTCTAAGACCAGGGATTCTAGTTCTAGTCCACACTAAAGATAAACAAAATTCTGATTTATTGATCCTACTGAATATTTTTAACTATGAAAGCAATTCTCTATTCTCTTATGCACAGCTTCAAGGTGCATCTGATATACCTCATACATCTTATTTAACAAGTTAGTATCTTCTCTGTTAAAATCATGACAATCATCCTTTACTGGCACCCTGCCAAAGTTGTATCAAAACATCTGTCACAAGCAAAGGATGCTCGTAATTAAGGACTTGACCCAGAACTATACTCTACCTGACCTGTGAAAGTGAAGCGTTCAGGCACAAGCACTCTTGTCTCCTCTTTCTTCCTTTATCTCAACTTTGATGTGTCAATCTCTTATTTATTATAACAAATGTGGAAGCAGATTCAAGGAATTTAAGTCATGGCTACACTACACAACTTGAATCCAATCTTTTGATTCCAGGCTATGTATGGATTCTGCTTACTTCACTGTACTTGATACTACAATTATGGAAAAACATTAAATAGTCCCTATATCAAGGAACCTATACTCTGGTTACAGAAACAAGATGTACCTCCAGAAAATGTAATACAAGCATCAAGTCACAGTCTGTAAAGACAATAAATGCTATAGAAATTGAGAGGTAGAATAGACCACTATAAGCCAGAAAAGCTCTAGGAAAATCAACACTGCTCAGAACCTTTACCAACAGCTAAGAGTTGAATATGCACAAAAGAACTGTTCTTACTCTAAGTTCAACTTTCATTCCAAAGAGGACAACTAGCTAAATCCAAATAAGCAAGTCAACTGTTCTTCTGAATTCCTATCCTAAGGAACAGAGTAACCTTGACTTAGATGTCCCATGGAATCCATCAAATGTCCCCAAATGAGCAACTCTACCTGTTTCCATATTCTGTTACTAGTCTGTAACTCTTTGAGTCATAAAGTATACTTCTTTTGTTTTTTACCTTATTTCTACCTATGTTTCAGAGCCTAGAAAGAATAGTTTTTATTAAGATGAAGCTGTATTGTACAGATGGTTTCATCAAGCTGGTATGAATCCATTTTTCAAAGAAAACTCACAGTGCCTTGGAATTCTAGAGTGACAGGGTATGTGAGAACATCCACCAGTAGTTCTCAAACTTAAGTGTGCCTCAGATTCACTGGAGTGCTTTCAAAAACGCAGATCTCTGTACTCTAATCCAGAGATTCCGATGTAGCATACCTTAAATACATTATCTGTGCTAGGAAGTTTGAATGCCAAATAATAATCTTCACTTCATTTGAGAATTTAGGATTGCACATACAGCAAATAAACATTTATGGATGTTATGCTGCTATGAAAACTGTGTGTGCAGTACTTAGGTATGAAGAAATATCTCAAATTGAATCCACTCCTGTGGCTTCCAGCCAAACAAAAGACAGGCATATGAGCTGAACATTTACATTAGGAAGATATACTCCTTGGAGAGATCAATCATGGGAGATTGATCTGTGTATGCACAGGAAAACTGCTCAGGGGGCAGGAGTGCATGGGAGGGAGGGAACACAGGGAAGAGGTATCTATGGGGAGGAAGTGGGAAGGGAGCTTTTGCACTATGGGAAATTGCAGTCAATGTCATGAGACAAAGTGTATGTGAGCGACTGTATGGAAAGTGAATTTCTTCTGTAAACTTTTACCCAAATCACAAAAAAAATTAAAAAGAAATATCTCAGTAACTGGCACCTGACAGCCAACAGTGTTTTCCATTTTATATAGGAAGAAACAGAAGACAAGATCTCTAACTTAACAAAAATGCTTTCCCAAGCAGGGGGAGAAAAACTCACTCTGAGAAAAATTAAGGGTCAGAGGTCCCATATCAAAGAGATTCTACCGTATGTTTTGGAATCACACAAATCAATTACTCTAAAACTCTTTTGCAGAAAAGGAGTAGCCCAGTTTTCCTACAGTTCAAAGTCATGGGATGATATACTGCAAAATTAACATCTTGGAAAGCTTATGGTGTACTTAAGAAAGTTGTACTTCCCTTCTCTTCAATCTCCAAGTAGCACTAATCCAAGCACAGAGCAAGCATCATTAACTATCGGCAACAAAATGGATGTTTGAGCAAAACACTCTGTCCAATAGCCTGGTCAGCTAGACACAGAATCTCCAGGTAACTTAAGAACTATAAAGTGAGCTGATAGCTACCTCTATACATTTAGGAAGAGTTCCACTATTTCTGTACTACTCACTTTGTAGCTCCTCCATTGCCTTCATCATTATCTGAAGATGATGATGTAGAAGAACCAGGAAAGTAAGTTGAATCCACATGGTTGGGACTGACACTTTGAGCTGGATTTATTGGAGAGGACCGTTCATACAATGGAGTATGTTTCCCTTCATGAGGAATGTTACTATAGTTGTTCTGCTCAGCCAAATTCTTTCCACTTGTTTCCAAAGTGAGAGCCGGCTCAGAGAGGCTATACGGGTATGGACCCTGACCCGGAGCACCACCTAGGCTTGGCATCTGATGGGCCTAAAACAAAATGGTACATATAATGCTCAGGAAGAGAAACGACTGCCTATAAAATGCAAACTGAAGTTAATATTTCCTTTTCTTGGATTATTTTCAATTCAATAATTATTTACATCTATGTCACATATCACTTAAGAGTGTGAGAAATTTACAGTCATTAAAACTTAATACATGTATAGTTTTAAAGACCAACTTTTCCCCACAAGATGCATGGCTAACTGGTGGCCACGAGAACAGAAACCCTCTTACCATAGGTTTTGCTTGTAGAGGGGTCTGTGGAATGTTGAGCATCTGAGGCGGAACATATGGTGGCACTATCCCAGGCATTCCAAATTGATTTGGTCTGGCTGTTTCATCAATATGAAATGAAAATAATAAAACAAGTGTGACTAGAATAACATTCTAGCACTGGACATACCTTGTAGCTACAATATTTCATTTGTCTTATTTACTCATGTGCTGACATGAATATATTTAGAAACTGATGCTTAACACTAAAAAAAGAACAAAAAACTCATTATTATTATAATCAATTTTTTTACACTGAGGCCAGGACATTAACTTTTAAGAATTTTCAATTAACTTTTGACAGTATTTTTGTTTTTGTTCATTTCCTTGAATATATCATTTATCTGTGGTCTAACTTTCCAGGTATTCATTATATATAGTTCAAGCTCTCTTACAATTCACTGCTGTACCTTCTAATCTGAAAATTCAGCAAAAGTATAAGCCCTGGTAGGCATTATAGGAAAAAAATAGTAATAGAACAGTTTCTCTTAAATTTATAAAATAAAATAATTTTTCTAATTAAATCACTTTATAATTAAAATTAGTCTCTTGGCTAACTAGCAAGTTTTATAAAGTATGGAGTTGCTATCCACATTTTTTAATTGTTAAACAAAACCATTTTAAGTTGCACATTTTACCATGCATTACAGAATCAGTTATTTGAGATTTTTGTGCTCTTTTAAAACACTATTTCTTAAAATTGTTCTGATTTGCATTGGCAGCTGCTATTCATTATTTTTTCTATTATTTTAAAATTGTGATTTCAGTGAAAGTTTACAGAGCAAATTTGTTTTCCATTCAACGGTTCATATACATTTTGTTTCACAACATTGACAGCAATGGTCACAATGTAACTCTCTTAAAAATATGGAATGCCTCACAAATTTGCATGTTATCATTGTCCGGGGCCATGCTATCTTCTACGTACGGTTTCAATTTTAGTATACTTGTTACCAAAGCAAGCACTATTCATTATTCTCTTGCTAACTTGCAAAAGTAGAGAATTTGTTTGGGGAATGCAAAGAGAAAGCCATATGGAAAAGAACACTCTCAGGACCACAGACAAGCTGCTGGCCACCTGGGTCTCCAGGACTGTGCAGACTCTACAAGGACTAAGGCATAGGCCATAAGGTTACTGGTGAATCTAAAAATCAAAACATCAGATACTGATCATTTCTTTCCATTCAGACTATCCATGAATCTTATAAGCTAAAATCCATTTGAAGATCATATCTCCAATTGCCTTTGGCTCTCAAGCTCTAAAATGACACAGGTCTTTTATCCAGGTGATTATTAAAGAGAAAATCTTGGCACAACTTCAACCTGTATACTAAACAGAGAAACAACACAGTTCAAGTATCTAGGAATGGTAAAAGTGGCATGTGTGTGCACGTGGGTGCACACACACAAACACATACGCAGACACACACAAGATATTCTTGACTGAACAATAAATCTACTAAACCTGAATGCCTGAGGGTGACATTTAAGATTTGGCAATTTTTAAAGTTCCATTTTCAAGTGATTCTGAATCTTGGTCAGATTTTGGACCAAAAAATCTGATGAGCTCTAATATTTTAATTTAAATCACTGCAAAGGTTATTTTACAATGCCTTCTCTTTGACCTTTTATACCTAGCATGTGAATAATAACAATGAAAGGCTGAGTGCATCAGCTATGCAGCAGAATTCAAGTGATGGTGATCTTTTTGTTGCAGTCGATTTTTAGTCATTATACCCTAAAAACTTCCTGAAAAATTAACTCTTTCCTTGAAAAAACAAACAAAAAATTGTATCACAACTTCCTTGAAACCAAAGATATCTAAGGAAAGAGTATTTTCTAAAATCATAATGACCTAATAAATCTTTTAAAGTGCACAACATTAGTTGCAATTCTATCATAGCTTAGTTCAATCAGCAAACTATTTCCTTTAAGGCTACAGAAATACAGAACAACCCAGGCAGGGTATGCTTCTGTGGACTCCATGCGTCTTCTAAACCAGTTCTTGTTCTCAACACGAAAATGTAGTTCAGCAGAGCCATTATCTGCCTTTCTTATAACAAGGAGGCCTTTTCCAGAATAGACACTGGGCTTACACAGTAGACATTAATATCACCAGTTTCTGATTCTCCTCCTTCCACAAATACTTACTGGAGGGGTAAGCTTTGTTAGACAAGTACAGTGTAGTAAATTATCTAGTGTGGCTTTTCTACCCATAAGTCTTTGTAAACTCAGAGGTGGAAACTGCCATGAGCAACTGAGGAGGTCCTGATTGCTCAAGTTGCCCACCTGCAGTATTTCTGTTGTGAGTAGCACAAAACAATGTCCTGGGAGGTTCCCACTCTATCTCAGGTGTTTAGAATTCTGATGTTATGATTGGCTAGTTTGGCCACTCTGCAGGGCTCAAAAGGAGGTCTCCTAGAGGCAGAAGTCTGTCTCTGACTGCTGGTTGAGGAAGACGTGCTGCTAAAAGGGACACACGCTTGAAAGAGACACACACTGCTGGGAAAGAGATGCAAGAGACATGCATTGCTGAGTGAGACACCGAGGGACACTCACTGTTGGGAGAGAGACTATGGGCTGGGAGAGAGACTGAGCATTTTCCTGAACTTGAATTGTAGCCTGGTGCTTCCCTAATAAACCCCATAACCTATGAATGAGTTGTGTGTGGACTGCAGTGAATTATCAAACCCAGGAGAAAAAAGGTCTAGAGGGAGGCAGCATGTCTGGCCTTGCAGTAATAGGCCTTGGGCTACTGATGGTGATCCTGTCTTCCTCTTGTGGGGTTAGAGGAGGTCAGGAGATGTGGCCTCCTTGTCCTTTTTGCAACAAGTATACAAATTCAAGACAGACAAAGATAGGAGAATCAATGTAGAAAAAGCGTTTCATTACTAATGAAAAGTATTTCCATAATTTTCAAGTATTTTTAAATATTAGTGACTTTTTTAAGATTAAAGGGAAAAGAATCACTCCATAATTTTCAAGTATTTTTAAATATTAGTGACTTTTTTAAGATTAAAGGGAAAAGAATCACTCATTGCAGTCCTTACAGACACAAGGACTTTTTAATTGACTTTCCACCCTATTAAACAAAAACATGCTACTAAGTTATACACTTCCTTGAATGACTTATTTTTGTCTATATCAAAGTGTCCATCTTTTGCTCTAAGTTAAAAGACAAAAGACTTAAGAAGGAATGGTATTAAACTAAGGAGCTCTGGTGGTGTAGTGCCTAAGCATTTGACTGCTAACCAAAAGGCTGGCAATTCAAATGCACCAGGCACTCCTCAGAAGAAAGGCTGGGCAATCTACTTCTGTGGTAATACCACCTCGAAAACCCAAGGAAGGGTCACTATGAGTCGGATACAACTTGACTGCTGTGGGTTTGGTTTTTGGTTTGGTTATTAAACTCGAACCTCTACTTAAAACTACAGTCAGCCTCTACACCTCAGCTCCCAGTTCTGGCCCAACCTAACAAATACTTATCCATTACTTGGTATATTATTATATAGATGTTACATTAAACAAAACAAAGAATAGTAACAAAGTAAGCTTTAAAAAAATTCTGTAAAACAAAGGAGTGCTGATGTGTGATTTTTCAATTATTATTAAAAATATACATAGTTTTGAAAATTAGATTTAAAGATTACTTAAATCAATATAATCCCTACTACCAACATTAGTTCTAAATGCTTGACTGAAGGGAAAAAAAAAAAAGGCAAAATATCTCCAACTATTTTAAACGTGTTCAAATGGATGTATTTACTAATGCAGTGTAGTAAATTACTTTGTGTGGCTTTTCTACCCATAAGTCTTTGTAAACTCCAAGGTGAGATTTTCTATGAGCAAGTGAAGAGCTCCTGATTGCTGAAGGTGTCCACCTGGAATATTTCTGTTGGGAGAGGCACAAGACAATGTTCTGGGAGGTACCCACTCTCTCTCAGGTGCTTAGAGTTCTGATGCTATAATTGGCTAGTTTGACCACCCTGCGGGCTCTAAAGGAGACCTCCTGGAGGCAGAACTCTCTCTGACTGCTGGTTGAAGAAGATGTGCTGCTGAAAGAGACATGGGCTCCTGAGACACGCGTTGCTGGCAAAGAGGCGCAAGAGACAAGCATTGCTGGGTGAGACACCGAGGGACCAGCACTGCTGGGAAAGAGATTGTGAGAGACTCTTGGCTGAGGGACGGTGGGCTGGGAGAGAGACTGAGCGTTCTTCCAGAATTTGAGTTGTAGACTGGTGCTTCCCTAATAAACCCTGTAATCTATGAGTTCTGTGTGGCCACTGCAGTGAATTATCAAACCCAGGAGAGAGGTGGTGGGTGCTTTGGGAGGAACGGTTGGTGAAAGGGCTGGAGGGAGGCAGCATGTTTGGCCTTGCAGTAATAGGCCTTGGGTTACTGCTGTCTTCCTCTTGTGAGATTAGAGGAGGTCAGAACATGTGGCCTCCTTGCCGTTTTAGCAACTAAATATCAATATACTCTAGAAACTAAGGCACAAAGTTGTATGAAGGAAAATCTTATTTAGTTTGTTTCCATCTAGAAAAATAGTTTAAAAAAGACAGGAAAGGGGTAGGGGAACAGAGTGGGAACAAACAGTTGCCTAATTTGGCTAGATATGGCTGGGTGAGGATGGCAATCACTGAGAAAGTGAGTTAAAGCCAAATGCGAAGGCCAGGGACAAAAGTCAGACCAAACAGGCAGCAAAGCAATTTGAACAAGAGAAGACACAAGTTGTTTCTGTGCTTTTCAAGGATTAAATTTTGTAGGGGAAAAACAGCGAGGCTTTTTTGTAAACAATGACTCCTGGGAGCTACAAGCTGTCGAAGAGCTGATGCCCACCTCGGCATACAAGCGCTGGACCACATCTGAAGAGCTGGAGCTCACTGTCTAGGAGAGAGACCCTGATAAAGGCAGAAAAAACTGAGGCTGTTTGGCTTGAAGAAGGGAAGGAACATGAAAAGATTATGAATGAAGTGAACAGGCATATTCATAATCTTCATGTTCTTTGACCTTCTTCGAGCTGAAAAGCTACACCTGAATGAAAAATAGTAGGAATAAAGACTGAGAAGCAGAAATGTCAATAAGATCAAGAGAATTCTATTATCTACTTAGAACTTCTGGACCCAATGAAGAAGAAACAAACAGAAGCACTTTCTATTCCATATAAGTAACATCCTAGGTTTTCCTTACGTATCATCTATTCATTGAAATCCCTGGTGGTTTTGACACCAATGTCACAGGTACTAGCTTTTTGAAAGAATAAAAACTGAAAAAGACACATCTCAAAAAAAAAAAAAAAAAACAATCAAGTGCAGGATGGTATGTATCATATAGCATTTAATTTAAAAATTCAGAATACTATTTATTGGTCCATATATATGAAGTTACAAAATTATAAAAACACATTTGAAGGAGATACATAATGACTTTCAGAAAAGACTAATGTGTTTCTATAAAAAATCTGAAGCAAATATATCATGATAGTAGTATACTACCATTCACAAGATGGTTCTATTTTTCCATTTAAAGCTTATAAAACATTTTAAGTAAGAATTTTTAAAAAGTGGGCGGCTTAGTACGCAAACCTATAAGATGAAGACTGAATATTACATAATCTAAAATATCAAATTTTTGATATTAGTAAAGTATAGCAATAGCATATCATCAAATACTTTGTGACAATAAAATGTTAAAAAGTGATTGCAATAGCAAAAAAATTGAAAGTACTGTAGATAAAGACAGTAGCGATGTGGTCAAAATAAATTACAGTACATTCACATAATCTACTGTAATTCATATTCATATGAAACACAGTAAACCTATGTGAAGTGACATGGAAAAAGTCAAAGGTATATTTTTAAATAGAACAAAGACATTTATCAAAGAGTTTGTATAATCTGATTCCATTTAAAAAGAAGTGGTAAAGTTCGCCTTTGAAAATAGGAGAGGGAAACCATCTTTCCTCTAACAACCAAGAAAGAAAGTACAGGAATGCACAACAGTAAGTTTACTGGTTTGCAAGTGAAGAGCTTGGGGCATTTTCTTCCATGTGGTTGCTTTTATAATCTCTGTGAAATGAGAAGTGAGATAATCTTCTCAGACTGAGTAGGGTGATGTCTGCAGATAAGGAAAATCTAAGATACTGAAAAGTTAACTGACAGTAGTTACAGCTGTGATAACACTGGCATTCGCAAGTCACTTCTGTCCTAGGAAATGTACTGGAACATGAATACTCCTGGGATGATCTCTCATCCACTGAGGTATTGTCTGTCTCAGCCTGAATTGCAGTGTAGGCATTTATAAATTCTTTTTCCTGTAGTGTACATGTATATTGTCATCCTTTTGTCTGAATGGTTCGTTCTACCCTTTCAGGCAGGTATCATTGTAGAGTGCTTCCCCCATAATATTTTATTTCCACACAAACTATTCAGTGACACTGGTTACATTCTTCTCAAGACAAGAATATTCTCATTATTTCCATTCTGGTTGTTTCATATCCATTAATCTAGTTCTCCTATCCTCTTACATTCTCATCTTTGTTTTAAAGTAACTGTTGACCATTTGGTCTTATAGAGGTGATTTTTTAAAGAAGCACAGTACTTATAGGTGATGCTCATTATTTTGTGAGCCAATCTGTTATTTAGCTACAAGATGACCTCAGGGACTAATTTCAGTTCAAGATTTGAAGAATACTTCAGTCTCTGAGAGTTTTCCAGTTTCAACCAATCCACTAAGTCATGTTTTTTTGTTTTTTGGAATTTGAGGTTCTTTTGCACATGTTTCTTCCATTCTATCAGGGTCCAACTACTGTGGCCTACACTGTAATCATTATGTTACATCTCTGTCTTGCTTTCCCGAGAGTCTACCTTTGTCATCTACTTTTATGAATTAGGTTACTCTGAATCAATCTGTGAGAATATTGTCACCCTTTAGAAGATCTGCTGTGATACAGGCTGATGACCACATTCTTGATCCATGGCAAGCCTGTCAAAATGAAATGCCCTGTAAGGTCCCTCCTTAAGCACCAGTGGCTATGACCATAGGTTCTTTCTTTGCTATTCATTATGCAGAACCTGTTTTTTTTAGTGGCCATAGCACCAATTTCAACATGGTATTTTTTGTGAATTTTTTTCTCCTATTTGCATGAGCAGTTCTCCTATCTCTTTGCTGAAATGAGCTCTCCTACATAGTTGTTACCCTTGGTCTGTATACTCTTTGACTGTGACCTACCTACAATGTGCATGAGTGAGCTAAATGCTCAGTAGTAACAGCCAATCCTACTCGGGATTCTACTGCCACAATGAAAACCATCCTAGGTATTAGGAAGCTATCTACAAGGAAAGAGAAGATATCCCTACTTTCCAACTATTTATAAGTCACCACATGTGCACTAGATCTCATCCAATTCTGCTTTCTGAGGGACCACAAGTTATTATCACCTATTCCCTTATACCTTTGAGTATTTTCAATCTTTCCCTCTTAGTAGTGATCAATTAAACCTGTTTGATTCTTCTTCTTATTTCAACCCTACCAATTTATAGTAATGACCTCATGCATATTTGGAGGACTGGTGTTTGCTACTAATATCATTCTCTTCTATGTCTTTCCATATTGAAGAAGCTGGAATATCCCACTCAACCTTTAAATCCTACTGTAAATATTAAGTTAATCAGAATAATCAATCATTGATTCAGTCTAATATTTATTTAATCATACCAGTCTTCCTTAAACTCAAAAGGCTAGCATTTTCTGTTTCTGTTCTTTCTAACATTCAACACTCATTTGCTGTATGCCTTCCCCACTAGCCTCTATGGGGACAAGGATGGAAGGGCAAGGATAATGTCTGTCTTATTCAAAAAATTAGTTATCTCCTGTTTTGTCCCTTTATGATTCCTTTTCTAAAATTCCATACACTCATTTGGTGCCAGTCTTCCCCACTAGCCTATAAAACAGTCTGTAAGGAGAGCAAGGATGATGCTTCTCATGTTTACCATATTGCCCAGCACCTAGTACAGTTCCTTGCATGTAGTGAATAAATCCCTAAGCCCATTTACTTTTCAGTGAAGGATGTCAGTAAAATATAGTGGTTGCTTCTGAACCTTCACTGGGCCTCAATTTCACTTGTGGAGCTTTTTAAATCTATACTACAACTAGCTCACGCCTACATATTCTAAATTTACAGACCTAAAGTGGGACACCGGCATATGTGTTATTTGTAAAATTCACCAATGATTTTTAAGCATAGTCAGGGTTGAAACCTACTGGTTCAACCAGGAACCAAATACTCTGACAATTAAATTTCAACATATCTAACTTGTGCTTACATTTAGATTAGTGATTGGCTGGTGAGATTTGGCTACGATAAAAAAGATTAAAATTATAATCATGTTTATATTCCTAGTTCCCAGCACAATGTTTCTAAAATAGCAAATGATTGATAAATCCTTTTTAAAATTAACGGGTGAACCTAATCTTACCTATAACTCATTTGAAGATTTTATCCAAGAATTAAAGGAATTTAAAGGAGCTCTGGTGGTGCTGTGGTTAAGGGATTGGGTTTCAAACCAAAAAGTAGGCAGTTTGAACCTACCAGCTGCTCCATGGGAGCAAGATGAGGCAATCTAACTCCATAAACATTTACAGCCTTGGAAATCTGATGGGGTCAGAGTTGACTGATGATTGACCATGAGTCAGAATTAACTTGATGGCAGCGGGTTTGGTTTGGGGTTTCATCCAAGAATATTTTTAGGAGTCCATAGTGCAAAGATAGCATGGCCTGGAACACATTCTTGTTTTACTCTTTAAAAAATACTATATAGCTAACCAAATTATTCCATATAATATTGCAGGAGCAATAGTACAGTGAGTGTGTATACTTCCTTCTGTAAATTCTACACTATCCAGTAACTACTTGGGGAACATTTTTCTAAACACTGCATCTTATTCACATTGCATCAGTATTACTAATACTTACTTGTCATCTCAATCATAAACACAATCAGCAAATCTAGTACCATTTTTTTTTCTCTGTATCTTCAGTACCTAGCACATAGTAGGCACTACATTTAAATAAATGAATGGATGCTATCACAGTGAATGACAGCTGTTGGGGAAATTACTCTTCTGAGACCAATAAAAGCTCTAATTCCTGTAACAGTCTCGTGAACATGCCATTTTTTCTTAACAGCTTGTATGAACAAACACAACAATTTAAATAATACTTGGCAATATTATTCCTCTTAGTTTCATTGCTCTGGACCCTCAGAAAGGTCAATTCAGGTCTGAAGATGGTACTTTTATGGCTTAGGACTTTACAACCTCCCATAAGATATTTACTATGCAGGAAGTAGGCTAATAATTAATAAGCATTTTCATTCCTCAATTTCAGATCTCTAAATTAAATTTTGTCTTTTAAAAAAAAAAAGACAATAAAGGAGGAGACACAAATTCATTGCATTTATGAAGTTATTTTTAAATCTGGAGAATCTTTTATGTCCTCAGTGAATTTTGTATTTAAAAGAGGAAACCCCAGAGACCCCAAAATCTCAATATTATAATTACCTAATAGCCTTGGTTTTCAAGATCCTCTTTTACTCTTCTCCACTTTACCTGTAAATCATCTCTTGTCACTCAGTATTTTCAGAAATTGCTTCTAAAATTGCCCATGAAGTTCAGATATACTTATGCATAGAACTACAGAAAATCCCATTTCAAAAGAATACGCCTACTAGATGAAATGGTAAATATTTAAACATCTTCGCATAGTCAATACCCCCAAAAAGAGGCCTTTATTTACTTACCTAAGTAATGTGGTGGATGAAATGACATAGGCTTACTAGTCGCTGAATAATACCCAATCGCTCTCTTAAATCGAATAACTTTGTCATCTGTTCTAGACTGAATAAATGTAGGAAAATCTTTGTAAATGAGTATATATATGCCAATTGTCACATGAATTAACATATTTCTATAATTCAGTACATGCATAATAATCTGTAACTTTTCAAGTTAGACACGTATTTAAAAAGAAGGAAATGAGCAGATTATTGTTGAGGATCTAAATCAAACATTAATTATTTTAAAGCAAAGTAGTTAACACAGTGGAATATAGAACTGGTACTCAGGAGACCTGGGTCCTGGGATCGGCTTTACAATGTCTCTTAAATTCTACTCTGTTAGGTCTCTAACCCTCCATCTATATAGCAAATGGCACACATTACAACGAACAAATCAGTGATATGCCTACCCAGTGTTTTTAGATCTTTAGAGGGAACAGGAAGTCACACAAAGCCTCACCAAATCCTAATACTGCCTTGTTTGCAACCTTTACTTTCTGAAAAAATGAAGGGGGAAGAAAAAAAACTATGATGGTAACATGAAGGGAACAGACAAATCAGAGATGCACAATACCATTTGACCTATTTTGATTTGCTTAGTAGAAATTCAGAAATACAGATCTTATTAAATTAAGAGCATTTAGAAGCAACAGAGACCTTAGTAATCATCTATCTTAATCTTTTCATTCTGTGAGGACAAAAGTGAGATAGGAGAAGCAAGATAAAGTGACTAAGACTATCCAGCTAACAAGCAGCAGTTAGGGCAGATCCACAGACTTGGGACCTAACGGACTAAGTCTTCTCCACTGAGGCCTAACTGGTCCATCAAGAGCTCCTATCATACATCCAATTACCAGGTACTTCCTTTCATGCCTCATTCCAAAACTGGCAGACACCAAAACGTAATCATATCTTGTGAGTCTGGTTTTTTTTTTTTTACCTGTGAATGCTGAAAAACATCTTTAGCTATGGCATCCAAATCAGTGATATCCTGGATATTACGAACGTAGTCAGCAACAGCTTTGATCACTACATCGCAGGGTGGTAAAACTAGCTGGTGAGCCCGTACCTAAGAAAATAAACACACACGTAAACAAGTGCTTTAGCCACTACCTAAAGTCAAACAAATTCATATTTAAGTCCTTGAAATGAAAAATACTGTATCAGACTATATGAAGAAGGATACAGCATCAGGATTTAAGGAAGAATGATCTGCTGCAAAAGTGGTATAATAGTGACATATGTCATGGTGACATTTCAAAGATGTCACTTTGAGAACTAAAGTGCATCTGACCCAAGCCATGGTATTTTCAACTGCCTCATATGCATGTCAAAGTTGGACAATGAATAAGGAAGATTGAAGAAAAACTGGTACCTCTGAATTATGGTGCTGGTAAAAAAAGAGTATTGAATATACCATGGACTGCCAGAAAAACCAATAAATCTGTCTTGAAAGTACAGCCAGAATGCTCCTTATAAGCAAGAATGACAAGACTTCATCCCATGTACTTTGGACGTGTTATCCAGGAGAGACGAGTCCCTTGAGAAGGACATCATGCTTGGTAGAGGGTCAGCAAAAAAGAGGAAAACCCTCAACAAGGTGGACTGACGCAGTGGCTGCAAAAATGGACTCAAACATAGTAAAGATTGTGAGGATGGCGCAGGACTGGGCAGTGTTTCATTCCGTTGTGCACAGGATAGCTAGGAGTGGAACCAATTCAAGAGCACCTAACAGAAAATGAAAACCACTGATACACAGTGAATAAATATTCCACAGTGAATAAATCCATGGAAAAGTATGTTAAAACCAATATATCTAAAAATGGGAATTCCTACCTTCTAGGCATTTTGGTTACTTGGAGATTTTTTTTTTTTTTTTTTTTTAATAGTCATGTAGTAAAGCAGGGAAAGAGGGTTAACTAGTGATAAAAACCAAACCAGACCAACTGCCATGGAGTCGTATCCAACTCATAGCAACCCCTCATTGGATTTCTAAAGCAGTATTACTACAGAAGGAGCTCTGGTAGCATGGTGCCTAAGGCACTTGACTGCCAACCAGAAGGCTGGCTGTTCAAACCTAGCAGCCACTCCTCGGAAGGAAGGCTGGGCAGTCTACTTCCAGTAGCGGTACTGCCTCGGCAACCGAAGGAGGGTTGCTATGAGTGGGGTCCACTGAATGGCACATAACAACAACAACATTACTACAGAATTATAGAATTATATAATCCATAATAATAATAATATGGAATATCTTATCTCAATAAAATAAGAAAGTATTTACTAAATACAACAATAATTCTCTCTGGGTAGAGAGATAACATCTTCTCTCCCAAAGAGTAGCTAAAAGGGATGAAGTAGATAGAGGCTTCCTCTCTTCAAAGGGTATATATCCTAACCTAATTCAATTATTTCTGCATTCCTTCCTCACCTCCAGCCTAAGGGCAGAAAACAAATTTAGGGGGTTAAGTTATGAAAACGTCTTAGCCATATCCAAACACCTAAAGGGAATGAGTAACTGGGCCTGGGGTCTCAGGACCATAGACTCAGAGGACATCAAGGTCAGCTATCATAGCATAGTACACAAGGACAATGCTCTACACCCCACTTTGTTGAGTAGTGACTGGGATCTTAAAAGCTGGTGAGCAGCCTTCTAAGGTATAGCTATTGGTCTTTCCCCATTCTGAGCAATGAAAAGTAAAGAAAATCAAAGATGTAAGAAAATAATACAAAGTACTTATGGACCATGTGAACCCCAGCCTCCAAAACCCTGAGTCCAGAAGAACCAGATGGTACCGAACCACCATTGCTGACTGCTCTAAAACGGATCATAACAGGAAGCCCTGGAGAGGGTGGGAGAAAAATGTGGAAGAAAACTCAAAATCCTAAAAAAGACCAGGCAAGTTGCCCTTCAGGAGCTCTGGTAGCACAGTGCCTAAGGCACCTGACTGCTAACCAGAAGGCCAGAGGTTCAAATTCACTCCTCGGGAAGAAGGTTGGCAAGGAAGGGTCGCTATGAGTCAGGTCTGCCCCTACTGCACATAACAACAAACAACAACAACAGTTGCCCTTCAGGTCTGGAACTGAAGCCACTCCTATGGCTTCCAGCCAAACAAAAGACAGATACGTGAGCTAAACATTTACATTAGGTAGATACACTCCTTAGAGAAATCAATCATGGGAGAACAGGACTGTGTATGCACAGAGACAGCTGGGGGGTGGGGGGAGCAGGAGTGCATGGGAGGGAAGGACACAGAGAAGAGGAGGCTATGGGGAGGAAATAGGAGGAGAGTTGTTGCATTGTGGGAGATTGCAGCCAATGTCATGAGACAAAGTATATGTGAAGATGAATTTGCTCTGTCAACTTTCACCCAAATCACAACAGTATTTTAAAAAATGACAGAGACTGGTGGAATCCGTGAGACTATGTATGGCCCTTAGACATCCTTAAAGCTGAGAACTGAACTTACCCCCAAGGTTCAATTTTCAGCCAAAGAAAGGACAGGTCTATAAGGAACAGTAACCTATTAGACCATCAACAGCATGAGATCAAAAGGGAAGCATTTGCCCAATGATAAAGCTAAAAAGGCAGGAAGGGATAGGAAAGAAGTATGAAGGGAAATGGTAAACAAAGAGAGGAACTGAAAAAAGTGCTGTTATACTATGGGGATTGCAATGAATGTCACACCAATTTGCTTTGTAAGCTTTCACACAAATCACACATTTAAGAAAAAAAAAGTCAGTAAACAATAAAATACTATTGCCAGATTGTCTAAGAGCTGTGAAACCTTCATGTTCTTTGTTCTGTTGTTCTTGTTATTCTTGTTATGTGCCATTGTGTCGGACTCGACTCATAGTAAACCCTTCCTGGGTTTCAGAGGCAGTATCACTACAGAAACATATTGCCCAACCTTCCTTCCAGCTCTTTGATCTAATTGTGCTAATTCTTAAAGTTTTTCCTAAATAAGTAATTTAAAAGAACCAATCTCTACTGATGAAGATGTTTGCTCTCATTTCATGTACAGTAGTGAAAAATATGAATAAATTTAATGTCCAACACAAGAGACAAAGCTAATTAAGTGTGCCATGTACATACATGGAATATTTTCCTGCTACTTAAAACATATTAAGACTGTATCTTTATATGGGAAATGACTGAGATAAAAAAAAAAAAAAAAAAAAAAAAAAACCTAAGAACTCTCATAAGGTACTTATAAGTAGATGCTAACCATGACTAGATTTTTTAAGAGGGAGAAATATTTAAATTCTTCAAATATGTAATTAATACTAGCATGTTGCCTTTATCTTATTAAAACATTGAATACACACACATACCCTTCCTTAAGGCTGGGTCAGTAGGACATTGATAAAAGCTGTATTTCCAGTTCCAGTCTATTTCAAATTCCCATCCCTCCTACTCCAGCCCCTCTCATCTTCATTACATGAAATGTTTCTACTTTTTCATCTATTCCTCATAGCTAATTTTTAAAATGGAAATAACTAGTGGAAGGAATAGCCTATTAGGTTTTCATGACCCAAGCATATCCTTGTTTCCCCCATTAATTAAATTTGAATGAACTGAAGTTTCATTTCTTAAAACTAGATGCAAAGTATTTCTAATCATGCACTTTGCTACTTTCCAAATGGAATCAAAGTGGATGGGGTTCACTCTTCAGTGATAAGTGAAACTTGTGTTTATTATTTACTTGCATTTTAAATGAATGAGCAAAGGTCCCAATACTTTCAAAATCATTTATTCATGAAAAAGGAAACAAAACAAAATCAGATGCCACTGAGTTGACTCTGACTCATGGCAACCCCTTGTGTGTCAGAGTAGAACTGTGCTCTCCAGAGTTTTCAATGGTTGATTTTTCAAATGCAGATAGCCAGGCCTTTTTCCAAAGTACCTCTCCTGGTACACTCTAATTTACAACCTTTCAGGTAGCAGCAGAGTGTGTTAAACCATTTGTACTACCCTACGACTGCTCATTTACTAACAGTTTTGTATAGTTGCTTCAACAATTTCTCTTAGAAAGAACAGCACAAGGCCAGTCCCCATGAGGCGAAGGTTAAAGATGTCCCAAATGTTCCAAGTACCATACCACTCCATCATTTCAGACATAACTCCTCCTCCACTCAGTTATCTCCCCCATCATAGGGTTCTGTATTTCACTGTAACGCCTTACAGAACTCACAGAAACCCAAGGGATCGTCTCATGTAGTGGTGGTAGAGGCTGTGAGGCTGGCAGGCTGGCAAGTCTCACATCTATAAATAGGTCTGGAAGATCCTCCCAATTCTCAGAGTTTGACAAACCTCAATCAGCAGATCAGATGACGGCTGCTGTCCTAAATCCAGGGGTGAGATGACGATGGCCAAAACGCAGAACTGGAGTAAGAAGAGGGTGAATCTTCCCAGAAGATTCATAGGTATACCCCTCAAGGAAGCTAAACCAAAAAAAAAAAAAAAACCCCCACCAAACTCACT